TCCCATAAATGATTCATTTCCCTACATAGTGTTTTTCTGTCTGCTTCTCGGTGATTTATGAATCATAAATCATCTAATGGCCTTTATAAATACCTTGTCCTTACCTAGTATAATCACTGCCTGCTCAGCAGTGTTAATGACACTTAATAAAAATGTTTCAGCCTAAACTTTTCAGAACTCAAAACTTCTTAAAAACAAAGTTAAAGCCTTTATTCAGTCTTTTTCTGGAACCTGAGTGAATCCAGGAACTTGGGAGCCCAGACTTGGCATCCACAGGCAGAAAGGAACAGAAATTTGTAGCTGTGTGGGGTTTTTTCTGTGTATTCTGTACCATCACGTGGGACTTGAGAACAGGTCTCAAAGGAATGAGTAGTTTACTGAATGTCCCCATGCCACCTTAAGGCTCTTAATGTCTAGGTGGCCCATGTTTTGGGGGCAGCAGAGGAACAATGTGGTAGGGTGGAGGAGATTTTCTGGTAACTTGCATCGCTGTGCAAAGTCCCTAGAGAACAAGAAAAGAAAACTGGCTTTGTATTTGTGTTTTATTATTAAATCATATATTGAGTGTTCATTATGTGCTAAGCACTGTTGAATGCATTTGATGCTATAGCATTTAATTCTCACTACTTCTGGTGATAAGAAGTGACTCTTCTCCTCATTTTGAAAGTAACTTGCCTAGGAACACACAACTAGAGCTAGACATTACACCAAAACCCACTAAAACCAGTTGCATCTGACCATTGCCCCTTTTCCCACTTCTGCAGTCTACTGAGTTGAAGTTGAAAGGGCTGGTATTTAATGACTTGACACCTGTAAGATATTTAGCATGGTACATGGGCATGTGGAAATCCTTCAAAAAAAATATCAACTGTGGTTGTCTTTGTTGATGAAGTGTCTTTTGAAAATGGTTCCAAGCCAGTAGCCTTTGTGACAATTATGAATTCTCTTTGCCAATGGACTTGGTGGCTAGAGCTCATTAGTTGAGAATGTGTTATTTTATAATTAATATTGGAGCCATCCAATGAATGTAAATAAAGTCGTGCTTAGGAGCAGGTGAAAACGTAGAAAATAAACAGTTGCAATTAGAGGCAGAAATTTTTCTGAATTTCAGGTGGAATCCATTACAAAAAAAAAAATGTGAGTAGCATTATTTCACCAGTAGAAAGAAGGTAAACAGGCTTCCCAAGGGCATGAGGGAAGTACAGAATGAATTCCTTGCTGTTTTTATGTCCTCATGATCAGGTTCATACCATACCTGGTATTTAGGTCATAACTTTGAGCTAAAACTTACATGCACAGGAATTTTTTACTTGAAAGTAAAAACAGTTTACCTGTTTTTACACGGAGGAAAACAAAAAACATGTATGGTTGAAAGAAGGTTCCTAGGTTAAAGCAAACTTTGCCACATGTCTCTCTCCCTGAACAAATGTATTGATTTTCAGAGTTAAAAAACTGACAATAGCTACCCTTCTCCACCATTTTTTTCCTTCCTGAATTTTAATTCAGCCTTCAAAATTACCTAGTTCCTTAGATGACTAAAGTCTTCCTACCCCCATCCCAACCCTCCACACACTCACACACACACATACATTTTAGCAACTTGATAATTTCATAATTTATAGCTAAGGAACATAGATTTGCAGAAGAAACTTGGCTAAACTCTGTCACTCAGTAGCTGTGCTTATCTTCTAAAAGATATTCCCAGTGGTTGCTAACTCAGAGTTGACAAGAGGACAAAATAATTTAATTACACAAGAAATGCTGACCACAGCCTCTGGCACATAAAGCTAATTCTCAACACATTAAGATGTTATTCTCCCCCATTAGAAGTAGCAATGTCTATTCTGCCTCTTTCATTCAACAGCGCCTGCTTTGTGCCATATTTTAAAGAGAGAGCCTGAACTGGTAACAGCCACAATTATTACCCCTGGTTTAATTGGAAGGAAAATGTTTTCCTTTTTTTATAGGAGATTGGAAAATAAGATCACCAAAAGTAAGATGATTCATGATTCTGCAGCTTTAAGTCTTCAAATTTAACATTATAGGCAGGTAGAGTTTTAAAAAAAATAATTACCTGGTGACCCCCAAGGAGTGTAGTAAAAGACAAGATGTCTAACTACTGATACAAATGTTTTCATCTAAGGAAAGTTTCCAAGCTCCTCAGCTTGGAAATGAGGTCTTCCCCAATTTACATTTAGTAAATGAATATCGGCCTTTGAAGAGCAATGTTTAAGTAGAATGTTTAAGTTGATAGTGATTAAACTTTTTATAGACAACGTAAATTGAGAAGAATTGGACCTTTTACTAAGGTTGTATGAAGCATGGAAGCTAAATTACTGTAAGATACAGGATAAGGGGATAGAGGTATAGCTCAGTAATAGAGCACTTTCCTAGCATTCAGAAGATCCTGAATTCAATCCTCAGTGCCACAAAATAAAAGGAAAGAAGATGTATGTGTGTGCACACGGTATTTGAAAGGGTTGACTTTAAGTTATTTAATTAGATTAGTATTTTATCATCTGGATAATTAAGGTCTGACTAAACAGGTTTATAGGGCTGGGACTACTGTCTTCCCACTAGATTAACATTTCTGACTTTTGGTATTTTACTAGTATTTTTTCAGAGCCATATTGAATATGAAGTAGCAAACTAAGGTCCCCAGTAAGTGTTCTTTAACAGCCCTGTGGCTCTAATGAGTCATTGCAGTACAGACCTTTGAACCATGAGCTGCTAGGAATAGATGCACAATAGGAAAATAACACAACCTGAGAGTGGAAGCAGAAGGAGCTTGGGACTTTGAAGTGTGTTTACAGCAAAGCTGTATTTAGCTGTGTGAAAGTCTTACAGAGTCCTGGGTTTCTCGTGTATAAAATAAGGTGTGTGGGACCTCCTGGTGAAGGTCAACTTTGAAGTTTAATATCCACAGAAATTACAGTAGTTTTGTAGACTGTTGGAAAACAGCAGTGGTTGATGAGTCAGCCTGGCAGGTAACTATTGGAAATCAGTGATGCATTTTTGTTGTTGTTGTTATTCGCAAAAACCTGAAACACATGACTATAGCACAAGGTGAGGTGCTGATGGTGAGAGTGGTGCCAAGTTCCAGAAATAGCAGTGTGATCTTGTAGAGAAGACAGTATGCAGGAGAGGCTGTCACGAACTGGTTTTCCAGCCAGACCTCCACTTCAGCATTCCCTAGAGAAGACCCTGGTATCGAAGACCTTCATGGTATAAACCTGACATTCCAGTAAACAGTCCATCCCGGACATGCTGATTGGAACTCATAACCAGTAACTGAGGAGAGGTGAATGGTATTCCATGCCTCCTTCCCCTGCCTGCCTACTTCACTTCTCTGGGAATAAGCTTAATATGGATTTTCCTGACAGATGCATATCCTGCATCATGAGCTGCAGCTATAGACCGCCTCCCTCCAGTGACTTGGCCTGAACTAAACAAGAGCTTCTCTAGGAGAAGCAGATGGGAGCCACCCATTCTTCCCCTTTGCTCTTCCTAGACCCCTTCAATAGCCAGAAAAGGAGGGAGAGAGCTCCATTTCCTCTCCTCTCAAGCCTGGACCAGAGCTACCCTACTCTGTTTATTACATACATCACCAGAGTCCAGTTTGGATTGGCACAGACAAGTTGATATTCCCATAATATCCTAAGACAGAGTTGAGTTGGGGGTCATGTAGACTTCATTCTGAATTCCATTTGTGCCACATGGAGTAAATTAGTTCTGGTGGGAAATGTGACACCATTTAGTAACCATAATGAACATAGCCTTATATCCTCAGAATTTTGCTTTCTCTCCCTTGAGGAGAGAAAGTGAAGGTAAGGCAGGAAAGTAGATAGAAAACCCTCTTCTTCATGACCTTTCTGTCCTTAAGAGTAAATGATAAGTACCAAAGGCTCATCTGATTTTGCAGAAATCAACACACATTCTCATCTCCTTACACAAGTCTCTAAGCATTAATTTTAAAACACTGTAGTCAATAATCTACTTGTAAGTTTTAAATAGTACAATATGTGAAATGAGTAAATGTAGATTTTTATTTATAAAACATGCTTGAAATTTATAATAAACTGTATAAGAATAACAAAGCAGTTTTGTTTAGTACAACTATTTGCACTAGGAGAGAGAGACATAGAAGGTACCTGAATGAGGTGGCATGTTTTTCTGAAACAGATCTTTTGCTTATAACATTTAGTAATTGGTGAGCCCACCTGAATACACCTGTAATCCCATCACATAGGAGTTGGAAACCAGCCTGGGCTACGAAATACAACACTTTCTCAAAAACCTTTGGAACAAAAATTGCTAATTAAGTCAAAAGGGTCAATTTGCTATGATATTTTAGTATGCGTCTTTGCTGTCAGAGTACTCTGTAGCCTAGTGTGATGAGTGTTATTCTTGAGGGAAAAGGAGAGTTAAAATTAACTTAAAACACAATTTTGCCTTATTCAATCCTTTGTGTAAAGTTAAAATGAGTGTGGTGCAGTGAGGTATAGATCACTGTTCCCTTGACCTTTGGAATGTGCTATACATTACTACTGTGTTGTCTGATAAGATTGATGGTGGCTTTGCTCTTTTATCAGTTGAATAAAATGAAACAGAATTCCCCCTGAACCAGCCTTTCTGCTTTTAGTGGAATTGCCAAAAAAAAAGGTTCAGGCTCTGAATTAGCCAGAAAGATTGGTTGCCTGATGTGTTTTGACTAGAATGGTTCATGGAGTCGATGCATCTATTAAGATACATATAAAGGTGAACTCAGTTCAGAGCAACTTCTTCAGTATGTGTTATGTTGGGTGCCAATATAATTCTATTTTCAAAACTCTGTTTATTCATTATATAAAATACCATGGCCATAAGGTCTTTGGAAATGAGTAGTGTTTTCGTTTTATGCCAGATATGGAGATTTGCCTTGACTGATTCTAGAGACAATGACTACCCTCTCAGCTTTCTAGATATCATTGTTTGATTAGCTTTTCCGGCTTTTTCTCCAGGGTCATCAATGCTGGGAAAAGTACACACAATGAAGACCAAGCCAGCTGTGAGGTGCTCACTGTAAAGAAGAAGGCCGGGGCTATTACCTCAACTCCAAACAGGAACTCCAAGAGACGGTCCTCCCTTCCCAACGGGGAAGGGCTTCAGCTAAAGGAGAACTCAGTAAGATGCTCTTTGTCCTTGATTTTCAGGAGAAGTGGAGCTCATACTCTAGCCCCACTGAAGGATGTTAGGGATTTATCCAGGTGAGAAATGGAATAGAAAAGTCCCCAGAGTGATGAATCTATACTCTGGGCATCACATAATCCAAGCCAAAGTTACATGTGCTAGATGAGCTGGCATTTATATTTTTAATAAAATAAATGCAAACACTATTAAGAAGTTTTTGTTTTAGGAGTTGATATATATATATATATATGTATACATATACATGTATACATATATATATAATCTTTGGTGGTTTCAAAGGAGCCACTTCTAGGTCTTTGTGAAGGAAATAATCTAGAAACCTCTCATGAGGGGTAGAAATAACAGTAGGCTGTTGGCTTGGAGCCCAGCTGTGACTTTGCCCCTTTTTTCCCACTGCCTGTCCATTAGAGTTGGCCAGTTGGAGTCTGTGTCTGACATTCTTCCAAATTAATATTTGCTTCAGTTGGCCCAAAGCCCTCACACTCCATGGGGTGGCCAAGCACGCTGAATGCCCTGCCATTGATGAATCACAAAACACATTTCCTCTCTCTGATTTCTGGAGAACAAAGCAGACACATCCTCAGAAAGTTCTAACAAACTCCTTGGAAAAGGACAGATACGCATCAGTACTCTGCCCATCAGATTATTTAGTCCTAGGGATGAGCAATCACAGAAAATCAGGGAAGGTTGGGCTGGGAAGGTGGCTCAGTGGTAGAGCACTTGCCTTGCATGCTCGAGACCCTGGGTTCGATTCCTCAGCATCACATAAGAAAAAAGCCAGAAGTGGCGCTGTGGCTCAAGTGGTAGAGCGCTAGCCCTGAGCTGAAGAGCTGAGGGACAGTGCCCAGGCCCAGAGTTCAGGCCCCACAACCGGACCCAAAAAAAAAAAAAAAAAAGAAAATCAGGGAAGGTTGAACAAGATAACCCAAATGTGACTATTGTCAAGTTGTTTATTATGATTAAGTGATTACATAATTTCACAAATTTTGCAGAATTGTGAGATAGTGATACTTCGTTAAAGTCACAAACACATTCTAACCTTCGTGGGGCAAATTGTCTGTTGTGGTCTATAAAGTTTATGCATTCTATGTGCTTTGACAATACAATTATTTCTTCCACATTGGGTGGTATGTACATTCCTTTCCTTTTGCTTAGTGTCAGCTGTTACCTCTTTCCCGCTCATTCCCTCCATAATTGCCATAATCTTAAGGATATTTCTGTATAACATTTCTTGTAGAATTTTAAAAGATGTCAGAATTTCTTCATGGTCTAAAAAATAGCATCTTATTCCATTTATGATCAGAGAATACAAAAGAATTCTGGCTTATTTCATTACTATTAGGTCATTTTAGAGTAAAGAAAACTGATTTATGTGATTCATTAGTTATACTTGTTTTCAAGACTGTAGGAAACATTATATTAGGCTTGGCTTAAAAAGCCAGCGCTGAGGCTCTACTGGGTAGCAATGGTTAAGTACATAGATTCTGAAGTAACATAGCTCCAGGCATTGTACCAGTTATTAGCTGGTTAATGTTGCCTAGTTACTTATTCTTTGAGTCTTAGTTGTCTTTTCTGCAAAAAAGGAAGGTTAGCAGCAGTAATTACCAAATGATAGAGGTCAGCTCATTGGAAGAATGAAATCTAGTCATCTGTAGAAAATGTAGAACTGTCTTTACTGATAAATTCTTAATAAATGTCAGCAGTAATATCCTGAAGGCAGTCCCTCTTCTGTCATTTCTCTGTGGATAAGACCCACTGAATTTTGTATGTTTATTCACTTGTGGATGAAAGATTATATGATCTTCCCTTCTTCTGCTCTTCTCTGCTCCCCTCCATGCATCTGCTCACACTATGGTTTGAACCCAGGGCCTTGTGATTGCTAGGTTGGTGCTCTACCATTTGAGCCATGCATTTAGCCCTCCTTTTTTTCTAGTTTGGAGATGGAATCTAGGGAACTTCTTTGATCCACTAGATCTTACCTGAACTGCTGTTGTCCTCTAGTGTTACAAGCCTTGTATAGGCCTTGGGTGCTGGGAACTTCAGCCCTAAAGCAACAAGTGTGACAGCTCTTGGGTCTCAGGTATCAGGATCTTCTTTGACCTGTCCTCACTACTGCTGTTAGTTCTCCCTCCACTGCCAGGTCTGCTGTTGCTGCCACCAACACTGTCAACACTGGTGGCTCTGCTGCCACTCTTGCTGTTGAAGCTGTTGCCATTGTCATCAGGCCTGGCTCTGCTGCTGCTACTGCTGCAGTTAGAATGGCTACTGCTGTTTCCCAACCCCTCTTCCCCCACCTACACACAAAAGAAATTATTTGGTACATGATGAGAAAAATGCATGTGTTTCTCGTCCATTCTTGTTAGCTGCCCTCAGCCCATCTGCTTGTATTGATGGTTTTGTATCACCCTCAAATGATCTTATAAATATCCAAATGACCTTAGATAGGAAAAAAAAGAGCTTCCCATCATTGGAGGGAATAGCTGTGCTATGTTTGTGCTTTTGATTGAGGTAAAATATAGATAATCTAGAACTCACCATTTTAAACTGTTTAAATTATTCAGTGGCATTATGTACATCTACATATTTTACAACCATCACAATTATCCTACTCTAAAAATTTTAATCTTCTCAAGCTGCAACTCTGTGTTCATGAGACATTAACTCTATTCTTCCCTCCTCTAAGCCCTTGGTGCCCCGTTCTGTTTTCTCTCTTTTCCCGAATTTGACTACTCTAGATACTATACGCAAGTAGAATCATGTAGTATCTGTCTTTTGTGTATGGCTTATTTCACTGAGGATAAAGTCCTTAAGGTTCATCCATATTGAAACATGAATCAGAATTTCCTTCTTAAGGATGAATATGTCATCTTGCAAGCATACCAAATTTTGTTTATCTATTCATTGGCAGGTAGACACTTGAGTTGTTTTCCCCTTCAGGCTATTTGTGAATAATGATGTTTTGAACATGAATGTACAAATATCTCTTGAATTCCTACATTCAGTTCTTTTTTTATATATTCCTGTTAGTTGTATTATTGGATTATATGGTGATTCTGTTTACTGTGTCAAATCTGTTCCCTATACTACCAGCACCATTGTACATTCCCATCAGCAATACTCAAAGGAATGGAGATGTGTAGAAGTTTACCAAGCAAATGTAAGAAAAGGGAGTTTTGATAGAAGGGTGGAAAACTATGGGCACATACTGTTAAAGCCAAAATGGGGAAAGTAAATAACAGCCTAATTATCTCACCACCAAACAGTGAGTTGACAGGTATGAAGAATGACAAAAGATGCATAGGACCCTTTTTTAGTGCACTTGCTTAATTTCTCCCTCTTTCCTTAGTCTTTCTGTCCCCAGTAAATTTAGGAAAGTCAAAATATGTGTTTCAAAAGACTTCTTTTATGTTTAAAACCATCTTCATCTTCCTTGGAACTTGCAGAAAACCTGCAATTTCTTATCAGATAACAGGAAATTCAGTGAAAAGAAGAATTATCACAGGAATATGTAGTTGAAAATATCAGTGATGTGCAGAGAAACTTAGCAGAAATATGATTTTATATATGCTATTTTTTTTCAGAAGTAGGGATTAAAAGCAAAGCTTTCCACTTGTAAGGCAAGTACTCTACCACTGGGAGGCATGGCCCAGTCTTTTTGCTTTTAGTTTGTCTTTCAGATAGGGTTTTGTGCTTTGGCTCTGAGCTAGTGGAGATCCATCTATCTCTGTGTCTCAAGTAGCTAGTATTAATACTAGCTCATATCCTCTGCCCCCACACTGGGGATTGAACTCAGGCCTTATGCTTGCTAGGCAGGTACTCTACCACCTGAGCCATATCTCCACTCATATTTCTTATACTTAGTAGCAACAAGGTATCCCAATAACAAATGAGATGACTTTTTCTTACTGTAAATAGCTATTATTTGATAAAGACATTAAGGCAACCTTAAGTCATGTTTCATGCTCATTCATAAAAATTATTTGATCCCCTTAGTGTATGTAAATCTTTAATCCAAAACAGTCAACTTAAGCCTTCTATTTTAAAACAAGCCAACCTTCAAAAAATGGTAAATAATAAAGTATCTCCTACGCAAGTGAGGTATGAGGAATAAAGGTAATGTCATTTCCTGTGATTATCCGAGTTCTTGATAGTGGTAACTTATTTCTAAGAAATTCCACAAATCAACTTCACATACAAAGTAAAATGTCATGAGTTACAGAAGATATAAAACTTAAACGGGATACAAATTTAAAAGTTTGAAAGCCTGAAGAAATACAAGAGGATATTACTTTATTTTCCTTTTAACTGCTCCATAATGGACCTGTGTTTTGGTTTGGTTTGGTTTGGTCTAGTTTGGTCTGGTTGTGGTTTGGCTTTCTGAGACAAGGTCTCATTGTGTATCCCAGGCTACCCTTGAACTCCAAGATCCTTCTGGCTCAGCCTCTAAAATGTTGAGATTATAGGCCTGTTTTATATATATATATATATATATATATATATATATATATATATATACACATACACATATATATGTATATATATATATATACACACACACACATATATATGTTTAATGATATACTTCAAAAGATAAGTAAAAATGTCTCTTGATAATAAGGAAGAAAAGTTTCAAAATCTCTGATAAAGCAGATGTGAAGTATATTACAATAAAATATTCGTCATGACCATTGAAAGCAGAACTGTCCTTGTGCATGGACCGCATTGAATTCATTTGTTTGTGAAGTCCATTGGCTTACAGTTTGGTAGATGGAAGTTGACACTCCACAACAATGTGAAAATCTTGAACATTCCTATGCCTTTCATCTGGAGACCTAGTGTGGCTAGCCAGGAAATATGGGAATCTAAAATGCTGAAAAGACACTTTCATATTATCCTTTAGGAAAGATGCTGCGTTGAGAATAGTATCCCCAAACAGCCTTTTACCTTCCTCTGAAGGTCTTTTAATTAACCAG